CTGTCCAGTTTATATACTGAACGCTTCCGGAGCGTGTCGCAGGCTACTTACGTCTAGTGACGAAGTCTTCATTGTGCTAAATGGCGTTTAGGTGTATGGCAGATAACTTTGTGCATTTCTCAACAGTTTATAAACTGTTTCAGTTTGTAATTTCTCACTGAGTACCACGTTTATTCGTTCCGTGGAACAGTGTTCTTCTTGAAACTCTCTTCCTTTAACGCGGGAGACCAGGTTTCACACCTGTACCAAACTACACTCAGAATTACTGTTTTTACATCTGTTTCACCTTTGCGGTTTTTTAAACAGCAAATGGTAGAAGGAGATTATCTGAACTGAATTGTAGCGTTTATTCCTCGAATTTGATTTCCTCTTAACTTATTCATGGATGAAATTGTGATTTTTTGCTGTCGTCAAATGTTTTAAGTTCGCCTTATTTTCAAGAGATTTATTGTCTATCTTTTGTTTCAATTTTGTCCATTCTGATAGCAGTACATTACTACAGGCCTTTGCTTTTTCTTCTACGCTTAAAGAGCTTACTTAACGTACTGTATTATGTTTTTGCCTAATAAATTAACATCAGTAGCACGCACTATAGACTGATGTGTTTCATTCAGTTCCAGTTCTGATCTTGCTTGGACGATGGTAATGGCTTGTTCTATCGCAAAAGTAAAGTTGCTGTTGCACAACACGGGGCCCGAAACCTATTTTCATGGAAGAAACGTATTGATTTAAAAGTGTTGTCATTCTCGGAAACGAGGGTAACACAAAAGCTTTCAGACGAAGCGAATATAACGAGGAATAAAAAATTGGTTTAGCAGAACGCAAATCGCTCTCGTTGCTTACTTACCAACTTAATGAAGAGTCGTAAACCTGCGATCGTATCTGGTTTTCGTATGTATTCACGCAGTGTATATCAGCATGAGCCGAATCACAAGATAAAGTAATACCTTTGTACCTCAAACATGGTTTTATTTTTGTTTCAAATTTTCTACCCTTTCTCGTCGCTCGTGAAAATGACATTGGGTATCAGTTATTATGAATACTCATTACTGAAGAATAGATTAACAAGAGAGTATTGCCATTAAGCCGTGAGCTTGTAGATTATAGACATCTCTGATAGCTTGGCGCCTAGTAATAGGCCTATTGTGGATTGGTTACACAAGCTCTTCCTTGAACGTTTTAACAAGTTGATAAAGTCGGAATAATTTATTGACCTGATAACTGAAAGGGAATTAGTTGTGAGGAGACGGAGGTTTATTTATAAATTACCAACTTGACTACGCAAAATTCACAGAGGTTATATTTCAAAACATTAATGTATTTGGAGTCTGTATGAACTGAAATTTGTGTAATGATTGCATATAACGTTGACCATTCTTTGCAGGAAATTTATAAAATGAATTATTTGAAGGTTTAGGACCGTAGATCGGTTCACGTTCATTTACTACAGACAATAGGGTTTTAAAATATGTAATTAATTACAGAGATATTACAACCATTGAGTCAGTTTATGTTGTTGGCGACGGTATGGACAGGAAATTGAATTGGTTAGAGGCGTAGATATTTTTTCTTCGTGTTTTGTTATGTGTACATAATGCAAGTGTTTCAGATAGAAGTAATTAATATTTTTAAGCTGATTATTTTTCCATTTAGGGAAATGGATGCAAATAAAAAAGTGTGTGTGGAACAATATAGACCTCTTTGCGTAATGAAATAATTAGGGAGATAACATTGAAGTTCTACAGAATAACTAGTGAAAGTGAGTTTTATATTATGCCAGCGAGAGCTAGAAGTTGATTACAGCTAATCAAGATGAGATTAACAAGACAAGAAGACTTAGACTAAGACAGAAACCATGTGAGGAAACTAGAAGTTGGAGAGAGGAGCTTGTAGGCAAACCATGCACAAGTATCGCGCCAGACACTGAAATCAGGATAACCACAAGTAAAGACAATGACAAACTGCAAAAAGTTGGGATATATTTAAACAGGTATAAAGAGAAATGGATAAGATCACTAGAGACATATGAGGAGGAATAAATCATAACGTAGGAGGTGGAAGAGGTTGGAGTTAGTGGTATAGTTTAAAATCAAAAGTAAAGGCTGTAAAATGTTTAAACAAACGTAAAGATATTAAGAAGTGGACGTACGACTAGGGAGTCATGTCCAACATTTTGAACTGAAACAAACGGCCTTAGTAAATGTTAGTGTCTATGTGACTAGCACATTCGCGGCGATTTAGTATTGTCACTCGTAATATGAGTATATAATTATAAACAGGTAAAAGGTGAAAATGCACATGCAAATTCCTATATTTCGACATACATCTACTTGAGTTTATACCTATCACGTGTTGAGAAATTCCCGGTTGGAATGTTCTTGGTCAGTATGGTACTTGTCTGTGCTGGTAGTATGCTGATCAGCTGTAGCTTCTTATGATTTGGGACGCCGCGAAGTTACTCGGCTACTGAGAAGGAAGGAAAAGCGCATGATCCTAGGTGACTTATGAAGGATGGAAATGTTTACATGTATCTGCTGTCTCTACTGCCCAAGAAATTTGCAAACACGTTTCCAATTTAAAGGTCTGTAAATCAAAATACAGACCTTTCCGGAACAATGTGTAGTTACGTTTAATACTTGTTTGTGTGCGCATTGCATATCTTCAAATTTATGGAAAACAATATTGAATCACTCTGTGTATCGTTTTGAAAAAGTCTGAAGCGATATTAACGTGACTGATCTGATACACAAACAGTACATATGATTGCATAATAAAAGAGGCCGTCGAAATCAATCCCAGAAACTTCCAACAGGCAAGGTTTCATCCTGGGGCTGTCCTGGGATCCGGTGATTAACCTAATCAAACAACACAGAGATCCACCAATCAACAGGCAGGCCCAAGCAGAGCAAGCGGTTGACTCAGCCCACTAGCCATCCATTGGCTCGCTCTCAGATACGCATAAGCCTTGAGCAAATATATATGTGGGTCAGTGCGAGCAAACAGCTATTAAAATTTATCAATAAAGCATATGGTACAAGTTAGGTAAACCTAGGGGGCAAGTATATTCCCTTTTGTCTGCCGGACGGCTGGCTAATAGTCAGTGTGCATCCGGAAGGTCCTGCGACCGGCCATCTCGACACAGGTTTTCTTGGTTTTCCTCTGTCTTTAAGCAAATGCTGATACGGCTGCGAAGTTCCAAGTTGCCACTACTTGCTTCTCATGCAGCTCTCCCTATTTAAATTCATCAGAATTTACCCCCTTAAACTCATAAAAATTAACTCCCCCCCCCTCCAACCGTTGTCTCTAAACTTTCCCAATTATAGCTTCAGCATTTTACAATAATTAATTAAAAATTTCCGTCACTAGGGTTACTCATCGCCCTGATGATGGAGGTAGTAAGTACCTCTGAAACGTGTGAACCTCAACCAAACTATACGGCGCAACAACCCAGAAAACAGCCATCGTGAGATCGTAAGTGTGCTGCGAACTGGTCATTGTTCCATAAGAGATTGGCGGACTAGACATGCAGGAGCCGAAAAGGGGCGTAAAGCGTGTTGATTGAGAAACAAAACTTCAGGCGCAAGTGATTGGTCTTTATTGTATGTATAATGTACTTGTTATGCATTTTTACAGTGACATAAAATCAAAATTTCCCGCAGTTAGGGTGCATAACTGGATGGACGGTTTGTCTGTCTAGTCTCATGTTTAATCTCTATTTCTATGAAGTGTGGTAATGAATTCTACAATGAAAGACCTCGCATCGCATTTGTATTAATTTGCTTGACGAAAGATCGCGGATTGTTGTTACTATGGGCCTTTATGTAGTCAGAAGCAAGAGTGATTGATAGGTTCGTGATTTTATGTAGTTTTCTAACTGCAAGTTGTGTAGCTTTGAATGTGGAAAATATAAATAGGGTTTGTGAATAAAATGCCGCTGAAGATAGTTTTGTGCTCCATTTAAATTGGTATCATGGATGATGAGTTCGGCAAACAAATGCAGAAATATAGCAAGTGTGTTTTTTGAATATATCGTTGTGTGTGTGGCTCCGAGCGCAGCTTCGTTCTTGAGAAGGTGATAGTCGCTCAGTTAGTCAAGAACTCCCCTGCTGTTTATGGAACCAGAAAGTGCATTACCGTGTTCACGAGAGCCAGCCCCTAAACCCCATACCGAGCTAGCTGGATCTAGTCGACATTCTATTTCTTTTAGATACATTTCAATTTTATACTTCCTTCTGCGCCGACGTCCCCAAGTGACCTCTTTTTTCCAGATTTTCCTACTAAAATTTTGTGTGAATTTTTCACCTCCGTCGTGCTTGTTACAGGTTGCATACGTAAGTCGACACGGAAGGTGTGAGAGTGTATTAATATTTTCTTAATGACGAGTGTGAGAAAGGAGTGTGCGGGCGTCGTTCCGGTTTAACTGTTAACTGCTGATAGTGTATTTAAACACATTCCCCTGCGTCACTAAGCCTTTTACCTGTTACCCTCTTTAATTCGATTGCCTGAATCTTCTGCTTTAATTAACACGTCATTGCTGGAATTCTGCTTGTTACAACAGTAAAATTCTATTTTACACATGTTACAGTCTATGATGACCTATGGTGCTTCAAGTGTTGTCTGTATTCTTTCAGTTTTGCTGTATTGAATGATTACATTTAGGTAGGCATATTTCTGTTGTTTGTTTACTGAAAGGTAATTGTAGGCCTATGACAACTACGTCGTGAAGATAAAGGGAGATATTACGTCGAAATCTAGAGTAATGACGTAATCGTACTTTGCAGTAAGTAACCACCACTTTTGTGTACTCTTGTCCTAATTTATCATTCACATTCTCCTTTTCGACACTGCATATCGAGTGTATTTGAAATAGCGTCGCTGAATAAACAAACTACTAAACGTTTAGTTTTATCGTGATTCCCATTTTACTCGTCTAGTCATGTAGCTTACTGAGTTGTATACATCCCTTAATTTCGTATTGTTTGTGTTTTTCTCCGTTGCAGTTCGGTGGCGCGCGTGTTGCTGAAGGGGAGCCGGCGCTTCTCATCGCGGCGGACGCGTCGATCGCCACTTTCCGGAGTCACTTCGCCCTCGACGCTTGGTTGCTCCTAGGTTGTGTAGTACAGCAGTTAGTTAAGTGTTGTGCTAGTACAGAATTCTGAAAAGAACGCTATTATGCCGTGTGTCAGTGCGTGTACAAGTCTCGACCTTTGGGAGTGAAATGCTGGTCTTCTGTGTGGACGGCCCTCGTGCCATGTTGGTCATCTTGGCGCTGTGGCTGGCCGAGTTTGGAGTTGCGGTCACATCGTCAAATGTGGCTTGGCAAGAGAATGTTCGCCCCAAGATGTACGTCCAGTTAGGTAAGTTCTTTGAAACTAGTGAAGCACCATTTGACTGAAGGTCTCTTGTTTGATTTTTCTTACAGCCATATAGGGTTGTTAGGAATGTGTGGTTAGTGATTTTACCCTCACTTTCTATAAGGTCAGACAGTTCAAGACAACGATCCAACTGTCTCTCTTGGCAGTGTAATAATTGTAAGCTTTTTCTACCATATTGTGAAGCAGATTGAACTGATATTATGGAACAAAGAATTAATGCAGTGGAATTTTTTAGTTCTTCGCGTAATGATTTATAAATATGAAAATTTATTTCCTTTTATATGATTATAGTACAAGAATTTTCTGTGATTACGTAACAAACCATTCTCAATTTTAAGATGAATCTGTTATCGACTACTGACCACGCATGCTAACGTGAAATGTGATCTGTTGGATTCGTCATAAAACTTTTGTTGTGGGGAATGCTCAAGACTTGGTTATTCTGTCCGACTATCCAAACGATTACCAGAATAATTTAGTTTGCCTGATTCTTCCTCCATTATTCGTCATTCATAATCACTGACGATTTCCGTGTGTATACTTCGGAATTTAGTATAGTGTTTTCAGCTGTGGTAACCGTATATCAGCTCTATAATGTGCACAAATGAGAAACCAACGTGGAAGTAAGCTTCGACCTCGGTATTATAGCAAGAAGTTAGTGATGTGCGTGTTCTTGATTGTGCATTATCTAGAATTCAAAAAGATAAAAGTCGCAGTCGTTTCGTGTAATCTAAAGGAAGTGTGCTGGGAGAAACTGGAAAACAAAATGAACCATTTTGTATATTAATTGCGCGTTAATTACATGGTATAACGTCACTACCCCGAACGTCGCAATGGAGTAATTAGCATTTAATTAATCGGGTCTGGGCTCGAATTTAATTGAGATCGGCATTCGCAACTTAGAGCTGTTACAAATTTTCTCATTTCCTCCAAGCAAATAGTCATTTTCGTTTAGCACTGAAATAAGGAGACGCCAGGTTTCTTCTACTTTCTTTGAAATCTCTTAATACAAATCAACCATTCGACGCTGCATAAATTATGCAGTCGATGCAAAGCTATTAATAACGCAAGAATCCATAAATCATAACGTTAGACCCGCATTCGGGATGTATTATGCGGACCAAGTTCTTGGTAGTTTGTTTTTGGCATGTATTTCGTTTGCGTTCATCCGAATACTAGGACCAAGGCCGGACTGTCACCTTCTGAGACCCTAAGCTGCGTTAAGTTAAGAGGCACTTAAAATTCCCAAGTCAAAATATATATTTATTATTTTGACGGGACGGAACATTAGAGAATAAACATGTAGTTTGTGTGAATGAAAACATTGCCCTAGCATTGGTATACGAAGATGACTGTGTAAAGCTAGGATGAACAGTGTTTGCGTAATAGGTTAATAAAATAATATAAAAAAATTTACGTGATTCTTTGAAAACAAATTCAATAAATGTAAATGATAAGCTACGAAATTTGATGCCCTACGCTGTAGCTTAGCGTTTGAGCGGCGCTTTGACTGGGACAGTCCATTTGACTGCATTAGTTGCTAGATTAGTTTAGTCTAGTATGAGGATCCTTTCATGTGACGACTCATTTAGAAATTGCAGAAGATAATCACTAATGAACCATAATAATATTTTTGAAATACTTTACTACTGCGTTGTATGCTTTTAATTTGTGATTTTTCATAGAAATGTTTGTGTTTTGTAAGTAGACCGTTAGCCCCCACGAAAAATACTTCACGGCTTCGCGATGATGATCTTTTCTGATTCGTAAATTATGATAATTTCAACACCCATAATTTGATGCTATGCAACATTATAGTTCATACACTGACAATAAAACTGTAAAATCTTTAATTTTTTAAAAATGTTTTGATAATAGGAATGAAGGATAGACAAACAGGATACAGACTTGTCATTTATGTTAGTTTGTTTGTTGGAATTTAGTTTAGTAAGAGGCTTTATCGAATTTCAGGGCTTGGTATCCTAAAAGTTCGTTTCCTCTGTTGTTACTAATATAAAACGAGCTTTACCTCGGCTTTCGACGTACAGGCATACCTCGGATATATTGCGGGTTCGTTTCCAGACCACCACAATAAAGCGAGTCACGAATTTTTTGGTTTCCCAGTGCGTATAAAAGTTATGCTTACATTACACTGTAGTCTATTAAGTGTGCAATAGCATTATGTCTAAAAAACAATGCGAGAATTACCAAAATGTGACACAGAGACGCGAAGTGAGCACATGCTGTTGAAAAAATGGCGCCGATAGACTTGCTCGATGCAGGGTTGCCACAAACCTTGAATTTGTAAAAAACGCAATATCTGCGAAGCGCAATAAAACGAGGTATGCCTGTATTACTGAAGGGAATACGCTGCAGCAAAGAGTCGGTAATCTGCAGAGAGTTGGACTATAAAGTGATGTGTACTACTTGTACATATATTTTCTTACATATATTACATTCTTATTACTATTAATAATAGGCTATAGCAGTCATTCTCCAACCTCGGATTTCATATAGGCCCTGGGTCTAGCCGCGGCTTTCGATTCGTATCCAGTTTTGCCAGTCGCAGTGACTGATTTTGTATATGCACGTTTCTTTAATTTGTGGTCACTGAAAAAAATCAGTGACTTAACCATTTACCCGGATTTGCTGGGGCAAGACTTTGATCGTAGCCGAAACCAGCTCTTTAGCTACCAGATTAAAGTTGCGTTTTTGTGACAATTTTTGTTTTTATGATGTAATTTGGTTGGTTTTTCGACTATTTTATTAGTACGCTTTGATACGTGTTAACAGAGGTTGTGGTTCCTCAAACCCATACCCCATCAATTTTCTAGGAACGTTTCTCCGAATGGAATTATTGTATTATAAAGGCAAACACAGTGTAATTTATAACAGCAGATTTCCCAACGCCTCATCACCGTAGACATTTAGCTATTCTACTAATAATACAACGATGGATATTATGAACCAGCCATAAAGATATTCGAACCCTATGCTTGATCTTCGGCGCAATATTATGAGAAATTATACACCATAGCTCGTAAACTGCTGGTCACAGTTGTGTCCTTCTACGCGTTTAGATTTAGAATGTGAACCAGGAATTTTCACGGCATAAATTCCTAATCTGATAGGCCTACAGCACTGATAAATAATACGTCCAAAGTCAGTTGTCTGTCAAAAATAATCAGTATATTGAAGATGGCTGTTGTCTCAGTTGTCGCTCTTGTATAGTCTGGTAGAAGTTTAACGACGTTTCATAGTTTACTGTCTCCATTATCAATGCGATGACACAATTAATATATTTATTGAAAATTAATATTAACAATCAATAAGTTTTAAGCCTTTGTTCTTCAAATCATATGTAGGCTGTAGGGTATCCATTGGGTTGTTATATAAAATTCATGGGCCTGCGAGTATTGATTTACCTGTCAATTGGCTTTTTCGTTGAAAATGTAACATTTCTGTTCGTGATGCTTGATTTAGGAAACTTGACGTAGAACTGAAAGTAAATATTTACATGGCAATATAAAGGCAAGTTACTGAGAGAATTATAGTTTCAGATACTGTGTCATGATATTATGTTTACGTTGGTCTATTAAACAGCGCCATTACATTTCGTAACACTCATACGACTTGCGTCTGCAAATCCCTGGATGGCGAAGCAGCCATCTATGTGACAACAACCACGCAATGGAATACTTAATGCAGGGCCATTTTACTTTCGAGAGTGGGTTCAGCCTCGATGCCACTTCCCGTATAGTCATTTTGCCTTCCCTCCTGACAGTGCTAAGATAACTGGAACGCTGCTACACTTCACGCGACGAAAGCTTGCGTGTGTAGCCAATCGTACTTTACGTTTAGCTATATCAACTGAACACGTTTCATAATATTAACGAAGAGTAAGAAGATGGCTGTGTTCTGGGATGTTGCACCGTGTAGTCTGGGTAATATTGACCGGCGTTTCAGAGGAACTTACTGCCTTCATCATGAGGGTGATTAATCTGGTAGGGCTGGCAGGAAATGTAAGATTTGAGAACTGAGATAGCATATATAACGACCCGTTTCCCTTGGCTTAAGTAATGGCCTGTCAAGCGTACTTATCAGCAAACAACCCACGTAATTTTCCATTTGCAACTGATTGTGCCCTTCGGACGGTAGCGATTCGGAACTATTCCGAGTGTATGGCCCCTATGGTAGCCGCGTTTGGAATACCACTGGCCGGACATATGTGCTACGTAGCAAGCCTCATATCAGACGGAATAATGTAGCGCTATTGTAAGCTCTTCATTTGCATTCGAAGTTTCGAGGCTTACAGTTGCAAGGTTACAGTGGTCAGAGTACGTACCACTGTATCTAGCAGCGTAAAGAATCACCAGTGCTCTCGCAAATAAAAATATCGCTGTCAGCCATTGTTATTTCGAGGCGGACAACACGGCTAAGCTCAGGTGCGAGGGATCATCAATTCGAGGTGGTAGAAGTCATTTGATAGGACAATTTGGACAGTAGAGCAGCAGTTTCTATGTGCACAGCACAACAAAGAATAACGCGGACATACATCCGTGCCTCGAGTGGATTCGAACCTGCAGTCTAAATTTCTAATGGTTCAAAATTATATGCTGCATATACCATTGGTCATTATTAGGGTTCGGAAGTTCATGACCTAAAAAACCGAGAAATATGCCCCCAAAAATAGCGAAATATGATCCAAAAAAAGGCAAAATATGACCTATTTGTTATAAAAAAATATTCGCTAAAATTAAAAAAGGCGTTTTGTATTTCAGTCATGTTATTTACATATTTATGTACAACTATTACATTACTTGATTTCCTAGCAATTTTAATCAAAAACCTCAGTCGCTTAAAGTTGTAAATGCCGCGTTTTGGATCAGCATCAGATGTTGAGTATACGTACTCCTATAAAAAGAAGAGCCTTTCATGCATTTCAAATTCAATAATTACAAATAAATAAATACGTAAACAAA